GCAAATTAAAATATTTCCCTCAGTAAAGCACATAATGAGCTACAAATGTGGCTGCATTTTTAATTGCTTCCTTAAATTACTGGGGGAGGCAGAACCTTTCATCAAAATTTAACTCCTGATGTGATGCTACAGTAATTCCTGTATTAGATTAGTGTGACTGTTTTTATATCTGTTTTTTTACATATGGTTTTATTTCCTCCCCTTACTAGGTTGGGGGAATTAAAGACAAAGTCCTGGCAGCACACCGAGCTGGCCTGAAGAGAATTATCATTCCCCAGAGGAACGAGAAGGATCTCGAGGAGATCGCGGTGCACGTGCGGCAGGACCTGACCTTCATCCTGGCCACCTGCCTCGACCAGGTCCTCAACGCAGCCTTTGAGGGGGGCTTTGCAGTTAAGCCCAGAGTGGAGCATTTGAACAGTAAACTTTGAGCAGCCAGGCCGAGATTCCTGCTGTCTCAGATTCCCTGGCTCGTGATCTCTTCCAGCTCCCTGCGTGCATCAGGTGTAATCAGGAGTTAAACCGGAGTGTTCCAGTGGGGTGTAAATGCAATCAAAAGGACAATGTTGCTGCAGCAGTTCACAGTGTGAAACTGCGTTCTAAAGGCTTTCGCTTTTCATCAGCAAAGAATCTTGAAAAAAATACTCATTTCCTGATAGAGTCACGCATGAGAAAATTGAAGCTGTTGAGAAAGAATTCCTTGGCATATCTGGAATGTGTGTATGGATGTGGCAGCAGCTGGTCCCACCCTCAGCGAGGGCACACCCACAAAGAGGGAATAACGTGCAATTCTGGGAGAGCTGTATTTGCAGCAAAGGCAGCAGGAGAGGCTCATAGATGGGCTTGTGACAAAAAGCAAAACTGATTTAGCAGGCGAATTTACCTATTTAGAGAATAATAATTGTAATAATAACAATAATGTGCTAAGGAGCAGTAGCATCAGGGGAAAAGCAAGGCTTCTGAAATCTAAAAACATGCTTTGAACAGAAGTACTATGGTCTAAATTAAGTTAGTAGGTTCTAGTTTGTAGCGAGGTCACTGCAGACATCATTTTTCAAACCCAAACACAGGAAGCAATGCTGGAAGAACTGAAATGTAGGAATTGCTGGGTAAGAAGGGCAGTAACACACGAGTTCACATGTTCTTCCAGCAGCACAGGGGGATGGAAGCCCTGAAGAAAAATCCTGGTAACATTTTGGAGGGACAAACTACATGTCCTTTATTTTTACTGATACAAATAGACTTGATTCTAGGCTGCCTGTGGTTGGAGGTGAGCCTGTGGAAATTAAATCCATTTAAACAATGCCAAGAAAATACTGAATCATTAAAGTGCATTCAGTACTGCACACTGTGAATAATTGATGGTTCAAGAAGTCTGTCAGTCTCCCCTCTCAAATGATGGCTTTGTCTCTTCTCTTGAACCTCAGGGAAAACTACATTTGTGTGATCTGGGCCTTTGGCGCTGTTTATACCAGTCGACCCCTGAGCAAACCTCACATGTTGTTACATTCTCCCTTGTTCATTGGTTCTAAAATGAACTCCAGTGTGCTCAGGAAACACAAACTGTACCAGTGACAGCAGCCTGTTCTAGAAGCAGCCTATAAATCAAAAGAGTTTGCTTTGCTTTCGTTTCCATAGATAACAAAAGCTGATTTACCTGGAACATAATAGCACTGATAGAAGTATTCAGTGGGAATTTCTGCACCTGTTTTACAGAAGATTTCACAGAAGACTTAATCTAATAAAATGATAAAAATAAAACCCCCTTTTGTGTCACTATTTTAAGAGTTCTGCGTCATTCACCAGCCAAGTTCCAAGACCATGGTCAGCACACAGAGTTTCAGAACGTGTTCTTGCCTTACAAGAAACTTGAAGGCAAAAAGTGCAGATAAACCACACCCTGGATAAAACTCCAGGCCAAAATGATCACGAGTGTGTTGCTGCTTTGCTTCTGATCAAACCAGGAGAGAAAAATCCTTAACTAAACTTAACCCAGCTCCAATAACAATCCTGCACTATTGGCACTGGTGAGAGCACAGACATGCACAGAATTCCAGCACAGTCTGTTTATACATGTGGAAAACAAACCTGCATTTTTTTTTTTAATAGTAAGGACTATAAAAAAAGAAGTTTCCACCAGAGCAAAACAGGGAGTTGCTCCCCAGAAAAGTTAAGCCATGACTTTCTGCCTGACACACCACTGCCATATTAAGTCTTGCCCCCGTGGACTTCACCTGAAGGGTGGGGGGGTCTAAGGCCACTCAGAAGATAATGCCAGGCATTTACTGCCTGTTTGCTGTTCCTTGGGCAGAGCTCACAGGGTTGTGTTACTTTGTTGGTTGTTTTAAACACAATTTCTGCATCACCCCCTGTATCAGACACTGCAGGCACACTCCAGAAGGTGGTAAGAATAACCCTCCATGCAGCAGCAAAGCACTTCTGAAGTAAATCCAATGCACTGGGGGTTCTGCTTTGCAGCTGACAGTTAAATAGACCTGATATGAAACGTGGCCCTCAAAAGGAGACCCTGAAATAGCTAAAGCTTATCAGAGTTAAAAAAACCAACAGTGGTAGCTCCTTTCCTCTGTCCACACTATAAATTGCTACAGAGAGTTAAGTATCCCACTACTGCATTCCTGATTTAATCATGGTAGCTTTGGAACAATTCTGGATAAAACAACAGCACAGGCAGCGATACAAAACCATTCACCTGCTTTAATTTTAAAGCACTACTGCAAACAAGAACTAGCAGGAACTGTCACAACAGAACCCGAATATTTACATCCACATTTGTCTAAACATTTTAAGGCTTTCTTTTTAAAGGGCAATGAAAACCACAGAGGTAGTGCAGGCAGACAAATGCAAGGTCTACTGCATTTCATTTTTTAGAGACAAATCTGAATACTCTTTCCCAATACAGCAAAGTAAACCAGCACTTTCTAAAATAAATAGCTAATGTTAAGACAATGCCAGGCTTTAATACACCATTTATTTTAGATAAGGTAGTAAACTGTACAGATTTCTAGTATGTTTTTTCATATATAACAGTGTAGTTGACTTACCAGATCCTCACACTCTTTAGAGGAGATCCACTGAGTCAGGCTCCTGATACTTTTGAGGATCTGGGCCTAAGTGTAATTTCTTTAATCATTCCATCTGAAGATGGACATTGAGCATTTTATACAGATTTAAACACCAAATGGTACTATTTTACATTACAGTAAGTCAGCATCCAGTAGTTATGCTATAGCATTTGTCATCTGTAAGACACGAACCAACCTGTCTGACCACCCCAGTCAGCTCCTGGAGCTCATTGCAAATGCCATTCTTGAAGTCCCCTTCAGAAGTACAGTCCTGACCTTCACCCCTCCCAGCCTAGAGAAACTCGCTGCAGATCAGCACAAGGTGCTCCCAGTTCTCCTGGGGACACGGCCCCAGCTGACCCCTGCAGATACAGAGCCCAGCCTGACACCCCTGTGCCTGCAGAGCCCCGGCCTCAGGGCACGTGTCAGGCTGCAGGGACACCCAGCTTCTCCCCTGCCTTCCCTTCACAAAACCAGAGCTGGAGGCAGCTCAGCCGGCAGGACAGTCCAGCCAGGCACCAGGGAGCAGGGGAGATGGGGACTCCTCTAAAAGATCTGAAGTATTTAGCCAAAAGTCTGTCAAAGACCAGAAGACAAAACAGAGGTAAATGTGACAAGCTTAATTAGCTGAGAATAATTACTGAATTTAGAAAACTGCAAACAGTTGGATATTCAAAAGGAAAAATAAAAAGCTAGATCGCAAGACTTTTGGAAGCACTTATCTACTGTCACAAGGTACCAGTACATCTTTTAAATTACATCTGTGCACAGGTCAAACAGCCTAAGTATCAAATTTTAAGAGTGAAACTTTTACTACATGAAGCCAACTATTTCTGTAGTATTTTAATAATCCAATCCAATGGATTTTATGTTCCTTACCTGTGGAACTACTTACCTCTTCATGCATCAAAATAATAATGAGTTGTCTTAACAGATCAACTTCTCATAAGAAAGTTAAGACAGTGCACAGTAAATAAACTGTATTTTAATGTGTTACAAAAGTAGTTGATAGCCAGACTACCTCCCCAAGAGACGTCTGCTAGACTAGGTTTGACAAAGATTTCTTTCAAACCGCTCGAGATGAAGCAGCTTTTCCCCTTTTCTGCCTGTCTCTGCTGTGTAACACAAATGCCACATACAGTCGTGGTTAAGGTTTTCACCTACAGGCAGTCTGCAAAAAGCCCAACATCCCTCCAGAGCCTTTAGGGCTGCTGAAACACCTGCAAGAGATTTATCTGCACTGTCACGTGTATCATGTCACCATAATGATATACAAAATTCACTTCCAGACAGTTGCTTTAGTAACAACCAAAAGACATGAAAACAAGAAACTGAGCAAGAGCATCAATGTGTCAAACTTTGAGCTAAAGCAAAAAGCAGAAGCTGGCTGTGTTTTTTTTAATTTGCCAGGTATTCTTTTAATGACAAATATAAAAAGACTGAAAACATCTCACTGACTGCCTTTTTTTTTTTTTAAAACAAGTGGTCTGCTTTTAGAATTACAAATACTGTGTAATACAATGCCTTCTTTGTACTGCAAACCAACAAATACAAAGATGCAATCAAGTGTCTAAGCATCTCGAAATTTGAAATGTGAATTATTATTTTTTTTAATTCGGAAAATTCTTAGTAATTGTTCATTTTTGTTAGAAGATAACTCAAAGTACAACAACATCTAGACCTGTTTTTAAAGGAGCTGTCTTTCCTGACACATCTTTGAACATAAGCACTCCTTTCGAGTTCAGTACATTCACAAATAGCTCAATTAAGAACAGTATCACCAATGAATTGACTACTGGAAAGAGACAAAATTTACCAAACATACAGAAATATAAGTTTTACCATAGCAATTATGCATATCAAAAGATGACACCTGTAATTAATTTCAAAAAGATACAAAAAAGAGAAAAACCTGAATTACAGAAAAGAAAGTCATATTTATTTATTTAATGAAAAACTAGAAGTTAAAAATTAGCAAATACACAAAAAATATACACAAACAGCAGCAATACTATGTAGTGACTTACAAAGAGGGGGTGGGAGGAGGAGGGGAAGCAGCGGCCAGAGACCAGACCGCTCAACATGGCTTGTCAGTCAAAGGGGGAGGAAAAAAACACAAACAAAAACACGAAACAGTATCCTTTTCAACAGTACAATCAATCTACAAACAAGTTTTTAGAATTATTTTACAACATTTCCTGTAGAATCAATTCTTAATACAAAAGATGCCCATTTTGGGTGTATATATATTTTCAGTGGTTTACTGTTGACTTATTTTAAATATATTAGTTACTACATGCAACTGCTTCCTGTAATTTAACAGCCTTTCCTTTTATTTACCTTCATTTATGTCTACCCTCCATCTACCAAATAGTTTGTCTGACAGTCAAAGATGGTTACCCTAGTTTCTGCTAAATTAAATGCAACGGTTTAAACACTGGCCTGAAGAGGTTTGATTGCCGTTTCAGCACATGGATATAGTTACGTTGATGCCTAAATTCCCGTTTTCTGCAAAGAGCTGTGCAATGCTGGTGTCAAAGACTAGGCAGTCACTATTCATAATGGCTGTTGCAATTCCCTCATGGATGGACCGAGGAGTTGCTTCCCAAGTCAATCGCCGCCTATGCCCGTTTAGCTCGAGTCGATAAGCAAAGTTTTCTGCTTGCTTGCGTGTTCCTATCAGCTGTACAATTGCAAAGAACTGCTGGTGGCCATCGTATTTCTCCTGTTTCTCCAACACTAACATGAAATGGAAGCCAAAACAAGACTGCATCATAACCCAGTACACAGCACCAGGAAGATTAATGTCCGTAGCCAGGAACACTATATCTTCTCCCTGCAGTGTTGTAATTGACTTATGTTGATGCATCAGGTGTGGCATCACGGCATCCAGGGAGCCTTGCCATTTACATGAAGCACCGGGACAGGGACAGGAATAAGGCCTAAACTCACACAGCTCCTCGTGGTCTGCTTTTCCGTGTGTGGCAAAGTTATCTCGCATCCCGAAGAGGCGTATTTACATGGGAATAGTACAGAGTTGGCAACTTTCTCCATAGCCAGGTTACGGATGGAGCCCAGCGGGCCTCGGCAGGTTGGACAGCACGTAAGTTTGGGGCGACAGTTGCTACAAACCAGGTGACCACTCTGACACTGTAGGATGGGTGGCAGCACATAGTCAAAGCACACAGGACACTCAAAGAGACTGGCCAAGTCATTGTTGGAGGCTGTGGTGCCCGTCAGCGCGGGCACCCTCTGCGATGGCGTGCACTTGGAGGTACCCGTGGGGAGTGCTGTGGCAGTCTGACGGCTCATGTCTGCAACAGAAGAGAGAAAAGAATTAATATCTGACCACCTTCAGGATTTCTTCATTTGCAATGAAGCTTCAAGAGAAAAGATAGAAATGAAAGCAAAAAACCCCCACGTAATGCAAACTGTACTCCATGGACATGTTACGTGCAGATCATTGTGCACATCCGATGCAGACACTTGCACGACATGGAAATTTAACAGGCGAAGAAGTTCTACTAAGTGCTCTGTAGTGGAATTTACCTACTGGAAGCTGCAAGGGAGATGAGTAAAGATATGCTAAAAATAAGAATTTTGTTGTTGTTGGGTTTTTTAATACTGCATTTACGACATGTTTCACCCAGATCACTCGTGTGTTAACAACTCAGAGCACTATGGAACAATTCTAAGGTTGGATTTTAAGATGTTGTGTATGAGAAACTGGTCATTTTTAAGGAAAAAAAAGATCTTCTGGACATGACCTTCTCAGGAATCATATTTACTGTACAACTGTTTTTAAAAAAAGTTGAAAAACAGTAGCAAGGAAAAACATAGCTCAGACAACTGCCAGCCTGCTTTTCTCACAGGATAGGATAGTGACTCTTTGTTTTCATTACTCTGTTATTGGGCCCACAGCTTGTAAAGTACATCCACTTCTTCAGCTTCCTGAACTAAGCCATTTGTGAGGATATCAGAAAAGAAAAACGAAGCAATTATTTTCTTGAATTTCCCAAATAAGACAAGAAATTAGAAAGATTAAATCTGAGAGTTAATTTTACCACGTAACTCAAACATTTGTAGTCCCTTGAAAAGGCCCTGTTAATGAAGTCTTACATTGAGTGGAGCTCCCACTGAAGTTTTTCTTTCCACTGTCCCCACACAAAGGTGACACAGGTCTGACAGCTGTGTGACCAAACAGCCTGCTTGAGCATTCCACAGATGTGGTACAAGTACCATATTTGTTAACATGTTATGGATGCTACACTTTTTGCACCCCCTAACTCTCCTCCTCTTTGTGCAAGAGGAATTACTAGTGCTACCTGAGAAAATAAACACAGTTCTGAAAAAATAAACATTACCTTTGTAGGTTAAGGACAGTTAAGCAAAACGCTACCCAAGTTGGCCTCTGTTCCACAGTACAATTCTCAGCCACCCCAAGTGCCTCTCTGCGAGTACATTAGCTCTGTATCTGTCACGTACATATAAAGCTCTCAAAATAAACCTCATCTTTAATCTCCTTGCTATTTGACATGGGAATATTAGGCAATAGGCAAGCTTCCCATATTTAGCATCATTTCACCCACAAACTTACTCACACTTGGACCAGATAGCTCAGAGCAGCATACTGTGCATGCTTTCACAAGACATGCACTGTTCATGGCACAAAGCAGAGGAACTAAGAGATTCCAGCTTGCAAAACTACTTATCCCTTGACATCCAAAAAGTAATCATAGACAGGCAATTCCAAATTCCTCTACAGAAGCACTTCTCCTCAGTCCAGAGCTAGAAGAACATGAGTGTCTAAGATTGGATATTCAGTCACTGATTTTATGAGTCTCTCAAGCCCAATAACAGCATCTTCTCAACTCTTCAAATTCTATTCCTTCATCTCAGGCTTGAGATACCCAATTACCATCTTCAGGAAAAAATATCCAAGCAGTGGTTTTCAGTGCTGGACCTTAACCAATACTACAGAGATATGACAGCAATGTTTGCGTCTTTTGGCCGCATTTTCCTCCTGTGAGGTGTTCCAGCTCAGATGAAAAAGTTTAGGATGTCTGTGACAAATCAAGAATGTGTTCTGGGGGAGTGATGCTGCCCCAGTGAGGGGATTTGAACAGCAAGGCCTCTGGCAGCTGACAGTGCTGCTGCTTCCCCAGCACCCGCGGGTGGGAGCTCGTGACCCTGCACTGCTCTGGAACAAACGACGCGTGGGAGTGACTGTACACGGGAGAGCCAACTCAGATCACGCTGTTCGCTTGGGAAGCACAAGAATATTCACATGTAAAATTCTGGAAGTGCTTCCCTTCAAATATCGTAACACACACATTTCAGAAGGCTGTGTGTGCTGGATCTTGCCTGACCCTGTAGGTCCCGATCCAGGGATCCCCAGCAACCCGCAGATAATGCTGGTGAAAACCACTGCGTCAGACCAGTTCCCTGGGCAGTCTGACGAGCTGGGTGAGCTCGGGTGTCTTTAATTACACCGCTCAGAGCCCATGCAACAGTTAAATTAAGCAACCTATAAACTTTGCGAAAGACCTTACGCACAGATGCACTTCCCACTTGAGCTTTCTAAGCTACGGAAGCACTGGAGAACAGGACTGTGTGTTATCACACACAGTGACCAGCCTTCACACACACCTTCCACAACTGAGCACCTCACACGAGCACGGATGAAAATGAGCAGGAACATGTGAACCAGACCACTGAAATGATCAGCATGCAAGGAAGAAGCTTTAAACTGTAATTTGCCAAGCCTAAACCTGCCCAGAGCCTGCATTTTCATCACTCTTGTTAACACAAAGATGAATAATACATAATGACAGAAAAGTCATAAGTTAATTTTTTATGGTTATCTTAAAAACTACAAGTTAATCACAAGTAAAACTTCTAACAGTGTAATACATTTAAGCCACCGGAACTATGAAAACCAAGTGACTTGTTTACAAAACAAGGAAAAACAACGACAGAACCAGAAATAAAGTTTAAAGATATTTTCAGTTACAAACCCCTTAGTCCCTACATGCAATATTTGCTATTTCGTTATCTATACTTGCATACACCGGGAATAAGTCTCTCAGCAACAGTGATAAACTAAGGTATATTAGGAGTCATTTTCAAGACTATTTCTTTAACTCAAATGATCCAAAAGATTGCACATATTTGAAAAAAATCTAACCACGAGTGAAAAAGGGAAAGTGTATTTTAAGATTTCCTAACTGTAAAGCAAGAATTGTCCTTCATGACATCAGAACGCACTGGCCAGTTGATAATCAAGTATTCTCGCCAGTGCTGTGCAGAAGGTGACATGCACAGGCTATCGAGACTTCCCGAGGTGCGCGACTTCACAGCTTTCAATGCTGCGATAACTCAGTGTAACGTCGCTACCTTTCCCCTTGCAGGCTTTACTCCCCGGCAGACACGCAGTCCAGACGCCCTTCCAGGAACACGGCCCGCTGGAGGCGGCTCTGCCCGTCATGTGGCGCGGGGCGGCTCATGGCGTGTGGGGGCAGCTCACGGCGTGTGGGAGCAGCAGCTCACGGCGTGTGGGGGCAGCTCCTCACGGCGTGTGGGGGCAGCAGCTCACGGCGTGTGGGGGCAGCTCCTCACGGCGTGTGGGGGCAGCGCAGCCGCGCTGGGGGCGCGGGCCGGGCCGAGCCCCCGCCGAACGCCCCCGGGCCCCGGCGGGCCCCACGCCGCGCACGGCACTCACCGCCCCGGGCCCCTCCGGCCCCATCTACGGCCCGGCCCCAAAATGGTTTCCCCGAGCTTCCCCTGGCCCCGCCGGGCCGCGCCCGCCCCGGCCCCGCCCCGGCCCCGCCAACGGGACCGGCACAGCCCACAGGGACCGGCTCCTCCCGGGCGGCACCGCCTCTGCCCCATCACAGCCCCGGCACAGCCCACAGGGACCCGGCACAGCCCACAGGGACCGGCTCCTCCCGGGCGGCACCGCCTCTGCCCCAGCACCGCGTGTGTTCCCCACCCTGTCCCCACGGCCGTGCACGCTCCGCACACGGAGCTCCCTCTGCACGGTCGGGACCTGATCAACAGACCTCTGCTCCACGCCGACGGAGCTCATCATCCTCCCTAAAAAATTCTTAAAAACCTACAGTTCCGCTCAAAACCCTTTTAATACATGAACTTCACTTTCTGCTGTTTCAAGGATACTCCTCAGATGAGCATTTCCTACTGTGGATCTATAAAGTTCTATTCAACCAGAATTTTCTCCATTTTTATAAAGATTATTCAAGAAGCAAAAGCATAATAATCTCAAGGAAAAGAAATTAAACTAGGACAATGCAGCATATTTAAATATTCACACTCTTGAAAAAATTAGAACAGTTTAAGGATAAAGGAGTTGAAAACCAAGATCAACATGCTTGCACGATGCACACAGTGGGCTTAGATCTTAGACTTCATAGAATACTGATGTAATGATGATAAGATCATGGAAGTACAACTTTCAGTGGAGGCAACAGAAGAACACACAGCAATAATTTGTTTTGGTCACAAAAGTAAGGCTACCGTATCAGAGTAAAGAAAATTATCTTTAAAAACGCTTTCTTACTATTTGAAATCCAAGTCCTGTTCAAGGAAGACTTGTATCAGGACTTGAATACATGCCAATAATGCCCAATTACCATAAACAAAAACTACCAATTCGATAGAAGCTTCCTTCAGCCTCACCCCCAAATGTGCAATATCCATCATCCCACCAAGAGTCAAGAAAGTTTCCAAGCAGAACAGAAAAGCTGAAGAAAAACTGCACAGAAACAGCTTTTGAGAGACTAAGAGCGTGTTCTGCAGTGCCTGGAACAAGTCCCGGGCTCTGTCCCGCAGCACAGAGCTGTCCCCAAAGCAACCCCGGGAGCCCTTGGACAGCTAATGCTGCACCTGCTCTGCTCCACTGCAGCAGGGTGTACAATGCCTGAGGGGAGAGAGCGTTTGGAACCCCGGGCAGGTAAAAGAAACACCGGGACAATGAAAAGACACAACCAATCCACTGTTTGAAAAGCTCTGCTTGAGCTTTTGATGGAAAGCAGTTTCAAGCGAAGTTCACAAAGATGCTGTACTTGACATGCCAGGGAATTAACACCGTATCCAGGCCTACACTGATACCCTTTCAGCTTCTCACCTTTCCAAGGTGTTATCTCCAGACACATTCTAGAAATCACATCTCCTGCGCTTCACTGGAATACAGGGCACCTTTGACAAATCCAACTTAACACCATCCACTTCTCTCATATCAGATATCGTGTCTTCTCTCACATCTTCACCCAATCAAGACTAGACTTGAGTTTAACAC